CACCATTAAACCCGTCTTCAGCTTCGGACTGACCCCGGCCGCCTCCACGGGCCCCACCGCCAGCCCGGCTGTCACCGTCACCGCTGCCACCTCCACCAGCGTGGCACAGCCCTTCCTGTTCGGGGCTCCAGCCAGCTCCGCTCCCAGTACAGAAACCAACTTTGCCACCCCAGGGCCCGTGTTCCAGTTCGGGAAGCCAGCTCTGGCCATGGTCACTGCCACCACCACTGCCCCAGCAGGCCCTGCCTTTGGCCAGGCACCTTCAAGCTCCACAGCTGCTGCCACCACCACCGCGGGCTTTAGCATATTTGGGGGCACCACACTGACCTCCTCTGCCCCAGCCACCACAGCTCAAGCTCCGCTGACGTTCGGCTCCTCCGTTTCAGCTTTTGGCAACTCCTTCAGTGCCGGTGCAAAGCCGCCGCCGCCATACCCTGGCACCGGGAGCGCCTTCAGCGCCGGGGCTACCGACAGCCAGGCGTCTGCCAGCAAACCCGCTGCCGGCCCCATCAGCTTTGCCCCCCCGTTCAGTTTCGGAGCCCCCCCGGCACAGTCAGCGGCTCAGCCGGCGTTCGGCAGTGGTGCCCAGACAGCCTTTGGCACGACCAGCGCCCAGGGCTCCTTCGGCACCAGCAGCACCCAGGCAGCGTTCGGCGGCACCACCACCTCGGTGTTCTCCTTCGGGACGGCCACCTCCACCACATCCAGCTTCGGTGCCACCACCCAGACCACGAGCAGCAGTGCCGGCGGCGCCGTCTTTGGCACCACCCCATCTCCGTTCACCTTTGGGGCCACCACCCAGCTGGGCCCCTCGGCCGGCGCCTTTGGGATGAGCACACCGGGCCTCAGCAGCGGCTCCCCGGCCGTGGCCTTCAACTTTGGGGCTGGGCAGAGCGGGGCGGCCCCGGCGGCGGCGCCTTTCGGCTCCTCCCTGCAGCAGAGCACGCTGGGGGCACCAGGCCAGAGCACCCCCTTCGCCTTCACCATGACCAGCACCCCCAACAGCAAGCCTGCCTTCGGAGGTGAGTCAGCATGGACTGGTTTGGGTTGGAAGGGACCTTAAAGATCATGTTCCACTCCCCTGCTATGGCAGGGACACCTTCACTATCCCAGGTTGCTCCAAGCCCCATCCAACCTGGCCTTGGACACTTCCAGGGATGGGGCAGCCACAGCTTCTCTGGGCAACCTGTGCCAGGGCCTCCCCACCCTCACAGGCAAGAATTTTTTCAATATGTGTAACCTAAATGTCCCTTCTTTCACTTTGAACCCATTACTCCTTGTCCTGTCACAGCAGGCCATGTTGGGGGTTTGGAGTTGGGCAGCAGCATTCCTGATGGACCTTGCCAAGCTCCTGGGCTCCACAGCCCTGGAGAGGCCGGTGCTCCTGCTGTGCAGAGCCTCTCTGTGCAAAGGGAAGGCACTTCCAATCCTCCCTGTCCAGGGCCTCAGCCCTCAGTGGTGGAGGGGAATTCTTAAACTCTCCTTGGCCCTTCTGAAGGCACCAGCTCCCTGGCTCTACACCCAGCCAGGTGTCCTGCAGGAGCCAAGGTTGTGCCAGTCCCTAACAGCCACCTGGAGCTCCTTGGCAGGCAGAGAAGCTGCCAGCCAGTGACTGCCATCTCTTTGTCCTCACTTTCAGGGTTTCCCTAACATTTCACACCCTCACTGGGCCATCCCAGCTACCACAGAACTAAAACCCACACACTGAGCAACTGCTCGATGTAGAAAGACAGAGACCTTTGTTCTTCCCTGGCAAATCCTTCTGTGCAACCCCGCTGCCAGGAGAGCCCAGGGATTGCCAGGAGAGCCCAGAGAGTGTAACTTTGGCATTAAAAGGGCTTTTTGGGAGCAGAGGCTAGGAGCTTCAGCCCCTGCAGAGTCCTGTGTCCTGTGGGTGCCACTGGCTCCCAAAGGCTCTTCTTCCTTTACCAACCCCGGCTCACAATGACCTGTTGCTGATTCTGTGATTTGCAGGAGCTCCTGCGCCCACCTTTGGCCAGAGCACTCCCGTCCCAGGAGCTGTGGGCAGTGGAAGCAGCAGCCTTTCCTTCAGGACACCCAGCACTCCTGCCTCAGGCTTTGGAGGAGTCGGCTCATCCTTTGGTAAGGAGTGAGATGGTGCTCCAGCCTTGGGGAGCTCATGGGTCATGGTGTCTCCTTGGGCTGGGGACAGTGGTAGGGCCAGATGTGTTCTGGGAGCTGGCTCAGGTGGTACATGCTGGGCTCGGGGGACACCAAACCTTCTGTTACTCCCAGGGTGGGCATCACACTGTTTCCAAGGGTGGGCATCACATTATTCCCAGGGTGGGCATCACACTGTTTCCCAGGGTGGGCATCACACTGTTCCCTTGTCGGGCATCACACTGTTCCCTGGGTGGGCATCACGCTGCCCCCAAGGCTGCAGGGCCCTGAGCCACCTTTCTGCTTCCAGGTTCGTCCACCCCCACCTTCTCCATCGGGGCAGGATCCAAGACGGGCGCTCGCCAGCGGCTGCAGGCACGGAGGCAGCACACCCGCAAAAAGTGACCCCGGTGCTGCTGGGCCCCTCTGGCCCACGTGTGGGGGGCTCCAGGCTGGAGCTGTCCCCGTGGTGGGACCAGGCCCCATCCCTGCCACCCACTGGAGCCTGTGCCAGGTGGCTGGGATGGGATAAACCAAACTCTTGTTACTTGAACAGTTCAGAGCCAAGGCTGGACGACCCTCTGTACATATCCACAACGTCCCTTCCCTCACTTTATTTTGCCATGTTTAATGACGTGTAAATTTTTCCCCATTTGCTTCTTCCAGCTGTTCCTGTGCCCCCCCCAGCCCTCAGCCAGCCCTGGGGCTGTGTCCCACTCAGAGCCCCACTGGGGCCATGCTGCAGTTCCAGGCTGCCCAGGGACCCCGTCTTCACCAGGTCCCGAAGTCTTTCCCACTGTCATCCCGTGGCCTGGTGAACATGGTCCCATCCCTGCCGCCGGGGTTGGTGCCAGCCTGGTGCTGCCCCGGTGCCGTGGATGACCAGCATGGCTGCAGCTGAGTGACCTAATTTGTCACCTCCAGCCAAGGACACGCCGTACCTCTGGGCCTGTGCTGGAGGCACGGGGTGAGGATGGGGATCCCCCCACCCCTCTCCCATCCCCGCTGCTCCGTGGGGCTGTGGGCTGCCCCCACCCCGCTCCCCCTGGTCTGCTTTATCCGTGCTCCCGTTGTGCGCTCACTGAATCGAGTTTGGAGGAAGAGCTGAACCGTGTGTGTGGCGGCATGTTGGTTATGCCGGATTTGCTGTTTGGAGTTTCTTTTTTGGGGGGCACCGGTCCCTGGGGGGGGACGTGCCCCAGCTAATTGGGTGTTGACAGTAGCATCACTGCGTGGCTGCTCGTGCTGGGGAGTTGTCCCTTCCATGTCGTGACTGAAAGGCAGCTGGGCCGGGGGGGGTTCCAACTCCGGCAGTCTCTCCCCTCCCTTCCCCTCTCTCCTGGTGCCCCCTCCCCACTTGGGAGGGGGAGATGTGGAGCTGCTCCCAGGATTCCAGAGCGGAAGGGTTCTCCTCACCCCTCCCAAGTCCAAAGTGCTTTTCATTTTTAGCTCATCCCCCTCCCTTTGGGTTTTACCAGCTCTGAGGAGCTGCAATGCTGCCTCCCCTGTCCCCATCCAGCCAGGAGCAGGGATCCCACCCTTCCCTGCCTGGGAGCTTCATGGGAAGAAACTGCTGGAGCTGGGGGTCACCCAAGAGCCACCTCCTGCCTTGCCCAGGGCAAGGGATGGGCACCCCATTCCCAGGAGTGCTCTGCTGCCAGGTTTTTACTCTCCGAGCCGTGTGAGTGTGTGTGTCTGCTGAGGTCTAAATTAAAAAAAAAAAAAGCAAGAAAAAAAAGACAAAAAAAAATTGCAAATATTTAAACGTTTTTTAACAAAATAAAAATTTATTTTTATATTTAAGCTAAATTGCCTTCAAATTCCTTCAAGCTTGGTTCAGTGAGGTTGCCAGCTGTTAGTGCTTAGCTGTTCCCACCCCGGCAGTGCCCGCCGAGATGTGCTGTGCTGGGAAAGGCAGCTGCATCCCGTGGGCTCTGCTGTGCTCCCCCTGCTGTACATCATCCCCTTCCTTTTAAATGTGATGTATGTGGATGTGACTAAACCTTTTTTTTTTCTCTTTTTTTTAATTATTTCTCTGAGGGTGAGGAGCAGGAGCTCTCATGTTACGGTGCTGTGTGCCAGGGACAAGGTGTCTCTCCCAGCAGGAAGGGCAGGTGACAGGCTCTGTGTGGCACAGAGGGGACACAAAGGACCTGCAGGTGCTGGTGGGGGTGGTTCTGGCCACCCCTCACCAGCATAGCTGAGGGTGCAGTGGGCTGAGAGCAGCCAGGCTGAGAAAACATATCCTTGGAGTTTAAGGAAGTGGGTGGGATAGGATTAGTGCCCACCAAGACTGACCCTGGGTATCCCTCCCTCTGCCCCAGGCAGGGTGGTGGGCCAGGAGAGCGCCCACTCCCTGTCCTCAGAGGTGCCAAAGTTTGGCCAGGTCTGCTCCAGCAAGACCTGTGTGCCAGAGGGAGATGGGAATGAGCAGGGACAAGGTGAGGGCACCCTTTAGTCCCACACACCCAACCCTGTGAGGTGCCAGGCTGTCCCTTCCCTGCCACACAGCCCCTGCCGGGAGAGCCCCCTGTGCCTGGGGGGAGGCTGGGTTTTAACTGACTGAAGACTTGGATCATTCCTGGTGTGGCTGATGAGGATTTTAGTGTGAATGTGCAATTTTTGTTTCCTTGCTTCTTATGTCCCTGGTTTAAAATAAAACGACTGTGTTCACACGTGTGTGATTCCTGGGGCTGGGCAGGGACATGTGGGGCTGGTGGGGTTCAGGTGTCACTTCCAGCACACTCTGGCTCATGTGTCCTTGCTCCCCCTGGTCAAAGGCAGGTGCAGGGACAGGATTATTATTATTATTAATTCACTTCCCCCCCCCCTACTTTGCCTCTACTATGAGCAGGGCAGGACTGCACAAACAAGCTGGAAATGACACTAGAGAAACTTTATTCTGCTTCATTTCTACAGTTAAAGGCTTTTTTGAAGCTCCACATCAGGCTGGGGTCAGGACTTTTTTTGGGGGGGGGAACATGATAAAACAACCCCTTTCATCGAGCTGCAGCACCCCAGCCCTGCAGGGTGCAGAGTGGGGGTTGCCTTGGGGGCAAACCTGAGGGGGGTTGGCCTGGGTGACCAGTTCCCCCTTCCTGGCACCGGGGTGACCCCAGGGCTGGCACTCAGTGCAGGGGTTACAGACTTCCCACTGCAGCTGCAGTGGGCACAAACCCTGACTTGTGCCCAGGCAGTAGGAGTGTTCCCTGCAGCCCCAGCTGGGCAGGGGGCAGTCCAAAAAATTGTTTCACTCTTTCACCCGCTGCTTTTTCCTTTTCCTCTTCCTGGGAGCTGCTCCTGGCTCCTTTTCCTCTCTGGGCTGTGGCTTCTCCTCAGCTGCCACAGGCAGGGAGCTGCAGACAAGAGCAAACATCCTGAGCCAACCCACCAGTGCCCCAGCTCCTGCTCCTGCTCCTGCACCCACCCAGACCCCTCTGCCTCTCCTCACACCCTCCCCTGGGTGCCCAGCAACCCTGGCTTTGGCTGTGGTGCCCCCCAGAAGTAGCTGGAGCCCCTCAGTGCCCTCCTCTCACCTGGGGGCATCAGCCCCTTCCTTGCACCGCTCCAGCACAGCCACAAAGAAGCCCTGGGTGAGAGTCTCTGCCGGGGACGCTCGGAGGCAGCTCTCAGCTCCAGGGAAGGCAGCGAGTCCTCGGCAGGGCCAGGATGGGAAGGCAGTCACCAGCCTGTGGATTGGGATGAGGGTCAGCACCAAACCCTGCCCTACAGCCCCCTGAGCCCCCCCAGGCAGACCCACCTGAAGGCTGAGCCCCGCTCCTGCAGCACAGCCTGCACCACGTCCTCGTTCTCCTCGCGGTGCAGGGAGCAGGTGGAGTAGACCAGGCGCCGGAGGGCCGGGAAGCTCAGGGCATGGCCCAGGACCCGCCGCTGGAACCCAGCCAGAGCCTGCAGCCGCTCGGCACTCGGGGCCACCTCCTCCCCTGGCCCTCGGGTCACCATCCCTCCAGGACAGGAGCTGTCACTGGGGGCCTGCACACCCCCAGCTCGGCTCCCCCGGAGCAGCCAGAGCCCCCTGTGTTACCTGAGCCGCTGCAGGACGGGTCGAGCAGGATATGGGTCACCCTGCTGTACTTGGGGTCTCCAGGGTCCACAGCCAGGAAGTCCTGCTGGGCCAGCTGGCAGCCGGTGACCCCTGCCCGTGCCAGCAGCGTGTTCATGGTGGCCACACGCTTGGGGTCCACGTCAAAGGCAAAGATCTGGCTGAAGGCAGAGCACAGTGCCCAAGACAGGCATGAACATCCCACCCGGCCCCAGGAACCTCCAAACACCAGGCAGGCACAGCCTGGGAGCTGCCCCCACCCCGCAGGGTGCATGGTCGGGGGCTGGGAGTGAACCCTACGTGACTTCACGTCCTCTCAGGTGCTTCCAGTGGCCCAGCGCTGTCAGAGCCACCAGCTCACCTGAGTTTTTGACAGGCTGCAGCTCTGCCATCTTCTCGTGCTCTCTATGAGCTTGAGGGGACCACAGCCACCTTTCCCCCTCCCTCCACCCCTCCTACAAACCTGCCCTCACCCCTTATTCTTCAGGATGGCAGCCAGGTGGCTGGTTTTGTTCCCAGGGGCAGCACAGGCATCGATGACGTGGGAACCAGCAGTAGGGCTGAGGAGGAAGGCAGGGAGGCAACTGGCCTGCAAGAGGGACAAGCCTGTGAGAGGGGTGGGCAGCAGCACCCCAATCCCTCCTCAGGCCACAGCTGGCACTGTGTGGTCACAGGGACCACAGCGACACAGGGCCAAGGCCACCACAACCCTCCACTGGAAGCTTTGCCCAGTCCACAGCCCCGTGCTCCTCCCAGCTGCTGGTCCCCAGCTCCCATGGAGGGTTTTATAGCCCAGGAATTCATCCCAAACCTACAGGCTATGGAAGCAGCCCCAGGGAAGGCTGCATCCACAGTTTCTGCTTAGACCTAAGTGCTGCAGCAAAGCCCAGGCGTCGTGGAAGGAGCTGACCCTCCAGCCCATCAACAGTTTTCCCATCTCTGCAGTCTCCTGTTCCCCAGTTCCCCCACCTTGTCCTGCAGAATGATGTGTCCTGAAGTATACAGCAGGTTGTCATGGAGGTCTGTCTGCAGAGGGAAAACCAGCAGCTCTGGGAGATGAGGATCCAACAAGAACTTCTTTCCGGAGAGGGCCTTCAGCTCCTCCAAGCTGCCCATGAAACACAGGGAGGATGAATACACACAGTCCTGGCTCACTGTGGCCATGGCAGAGCCCTCCAGAGCCCAGGCTGAGAATCCCTCTCATCCCACAGTTCCTCCCCAGCTCCAGGCAGCACCCAGAGAGGCAGAAACTAAGAGTGTGGGGTGATGGAAACCTCAACCCAGCCACCCTGAGCACCAAGACCAGCAACCCTTCAACCCACCAGACCTCATCCCAAGCCCCTGCTGCTTTGCTGACACCCCAGGTAAGGTGGAACAGCAGGAAGAAACCCTCACCTGGCTGCCTTGCCCAGGTAGGAGTATCCCTGGCGCTTGAAGAAGTCGATCACATCGTCCACACAAGTCTTCAGGGTGTTGACCCGGACGTAGCGCGGGACCTGGGAGGCTGTGAGGGCCAGGCGGGTCAGACACAGCCCCCCACAGCTCCCAGTACATGGTGCCCACCCAGCCCTGGGCCTGCTCACCTGCGGGACTCGCCTGCTCCGGGGCCAGCAGGTCCTCGTTGCGGCTCACCTTGTGCCGCACCTTCAGCCGGGCCAGCTCGGCCTCCAGCCGCGCCCGGTGCCGCCGGGCCAGGGCCTTCCAGCGGCCCCCGCACTTGAGCCCTTTGCCGAAGAGCAGGTCGTACACCAGCACCTGCGGGGAGAGCACGGGGTGAGCCGGGACACCACGGCCCCAGGGACACCACAGCCCCAAGGACATCCCAGCTCCAGGACACCACAGCCCCAGGGACCGTGTGGCTCCAGAGACCCCATGGCTCCAGGGACACCCTGGCTCTGGTACATCCCGGCTCCGGTACATCCCGGCTCCAGGACATCCCGGCCCTGGGACCCCTCGCGTTGGAGACATCCCAGCCCTGGGACGCCACGGGTTTGGGACATCCCAGCCTGTGGACCCCACAGGTTCGGGACATCCCAGCCCCGGGACACCACAGCCCCAGGGACCGTGTGGCTCCAGGGACCCCATGGCTCCAGGGACATCCTGGCTCTGGTACATCCCGGCTCCACGACATCCCAGCCCTGGGACCCCTCAGGTTGGAGACATCCCAGCCCCGGGACCCTATGGGTTTGGGACATCCCAGCCCAGGGACCCTTCAGGTTGGAGACATCCCAGCCCCGGGACCCCACGGGTTCGGGACATCCCAGCCCGTGGACCCCACGGGTTCGGGACATCCCGGCTGCAGGACCCGTCGGGTTCGGGACATCCCAGCCCCGGGACACCACAGCCCCAGGGACCACGTGGCTCCAAGGGACGCAACGGCTCTAGGGACATCCTGGCTCTGGTACATCCCGGCTCCAGGACATCCCGGCCCCGGGACCCCTGCCGTTGGAGACATCCAGGGCCCGGGACCCCACGGGTTCAGGACATCCCGGTCCCGGGACACCACAGCCCCAGGGACCGCGTGGCTCCAGGTATATCCTGGCTCTGGTACATCCTGGCTCCAGGACATCCCAGCCCCGGGACCCCTCGCGTTGGAGACATCACAGCCCCGGGACCCCACGGGTTCGGGACATCCCAGCCCCGGGATCCCACGGCTCCTGGGACACCCCCGCCCCCGCCGTACCTTAGCCAGCTGCGGGGGCAGCTTCTTCTCGGCCTGCAGCAGCGCGGCTCCATCCAGCAGCTTCTCCAGCACCGGCGCGTAGCGGAGGGTCTCGGACACCAGCGCGTACAGCTGCCGGACGTGCTGCGGGGGGGGCGGGCAGGGCTCAGCACCCGCCCCACACCCCGGGGCTCCCCCACACCCCCGGGTCCGACTCCCCCCACCCCACTTCCCGGGTCTCCCCGTCCCTCCATCCTTGGGCGCACCGGGAAGCCGCTGTTGTACACGAGGCTCTTGAGGCCGCCCTGGCCGCGCTCCAGCCCCTCCAGCACCGCGGCGGCCGCGCTGTACAGCGCCATGTGCGCCCGCCGATCCTCCTTGCCCCGAGGGGGCGAACGCGGCTGCCGGGATCCGGCTCCGCCTCCGCGCCGGGGGAAGCGTCCGCTTCCCCCGGCGCGGAGGCGGAACCGGATCCCGGTCACCCTGGTCCCCCCGGTGATCCCAGCAGCCCTGGCCGCTTTGGGTGGTGTTCATCCTGAAGTCAAACCAAAAGGATGCCCAGGCCCTGGAAAGAGGGGAAAACACACAGTTCCCCAGCCCGGCTCTCAGCCCTGAGCAGGTGGACAAGGCACTGTCCTCCCACCAGGACTGACCTGCTGCCTGCACGCAGCTCTCTGCAGCTGCTTTTTGGGCTCCCATTTCCCCCCCTCTAGCAACCCCTGCCACCCTGCAGAGCACCACAGCTGCCCGCTCAGCTCCGCTGTGCTCTGTCCCTCAGTGACCCCACGTCAGCCAGCAATCAGCCCACCCAGCTCAAAATTTCTTTATTGGGAAGGATGTGCCACAAAGACCCCGGACGCTCATGGCTCACACTTTTCAGGCAGACAAGCCTTTTTCCATAGGGAGATCCTTGCAGGCCAACCATGTTTAAGGTGTTTGGGACAGCCTGGCAGGCTGGGAATGGGGATTGCTGAGGGCAAGGCTGGTGTTTTATGCTCTTAGTGGAGAGGGGAAGGACCTTACTGTGCTGCTGGAGCTTGTTCTGCAGCACCACGGTTTCCATGAGAGGACAACCCTGCGCACAGCCTCGGCTGAGACAGGCTGAGAGCTGGGACTGCTCAGCTTGGAGAAGGGAAGGTTGTGTGGAGACCTCACAGCCCATTCCATGATCTGAAGGGGCCTGCAAGGAAGCTGGAGAGGGACTCTGCGTAAGGAACTGTAGTGACAGGACAAGGAGTGGTGGGGCAGGGAATTGGCCGTTTCCCCAGGGAAAGGAGAGACTGCGTCCTGAGCTGGGCTGCAGGACATAGGAGTTTGGTGAGCCGAGGGAAGCTCAGGGGTCAGACTGGGACCCACCAGGCACCCCAGGACCCCAAAAAGGAGGACCAGCCTCGGGTGCTCCCTCTGCTCACACAGAAACACCCCCTGGAGACCCCACCACTCACGTGCCCTCCACGGGACCCCACAGACGTCCCTCGGCTTCTCTCCAATCAGCCCCAGGCAGTGGGACCAGCAGCCCCTCAGCGGGATGGAGAGTTGAGGGATTGAAAATTATAAATGCTGTATTTGATTTATTGTCATTGTATGGCTTTGTATATGTTATACCTTTTTCCCTGTGTATGTGATTCTTGTGTTCTGATTGGTTGAATTTTGCTGCAGGATTATGCATATTTATGGTTTTTCCTTATATGGTCATAATATGCATACTCCGCCTTAACTCCTCCCCTTGTTTTGGCACCTTCCCTATCTCGAGGATATAAGGCTGGAGCCATTCTACATTCGAGGCTTTTCTGTTCTTCCTCCCGATGTGTTCAGTTGTGCTCTGTCTGTGGCAAACCCTACAATAAAATCTCCTTACCAATTCCATCTAAGGAGTTGTGGGAATGTTCATTTGGGCACGTTCAGGTGGTAGCAGAGGATGGTTACGCTCCCACAGGAGAGTCCAGCTGGTCCTCTCCTGCAGTCTCAGCGCTTCCAGAGGCTCTTCCCTGCCCACAGGGAGAGGCCAGGCAGGCTCTTGTCCCCCCACCCTGCCCCAAGGACAGGGCACACCCCAGGGAAGAGCTCCCCACCAGGCACACACCCCACATGACTGGGCAGGAGCCGAGATAAGATCCAGCGTTTGCCTCCAGTTTGCAACCACTGCTTCCAAATGCTGCTGGGATTTCCCTCATCCCCCCAGGAACGTTCTCACCAAAGCATTTTGCTATCAGCCAAGTCTAAGATAACTTTAAGATCGAATAAGTGAAGATAATTTTCTTATTAACTACTTATTTGTGGTTAAACCAGTGTTGGGGTTTTTTTTTGTTGTCCGGTGAAAACCTTTTATCCTTCTGGAAAAGACCAGAAGGGAAGCAAGCACTGCTCCTCCTGTGTGGAATTTTTTTTGTCTGGGCAAATAAATGGTTTCTTGTGTAATAATCTCCTGGTTCATGGAGGTGCTTGGCTCATGAGCATCCCACTGGCTTCATTCTGAGCATCCCATGGGAAGTTGGGCATGGAGATGACTTCTCTCCAAGCTTTGGGGGATGGGATGGGGTGGGAGAAGCGAGCAAGAGGCTGAAGGAGTTCTCTTTTATCCTTCCCTTCTTTTTTTTCTTCTTTTTTTCTCCATTTTCCTTCCTTGCCTCTTTCTCCTCTCCCTTCCCTTCCTTTCCCTTCCTTCCTCTCCTCAAAATACAACCTTGTGGGAGTAAAAAACTCATTTTCATGTTGTTTTGTGGTGACCTCGAATCATCTCAAGAATGTGGATTTCTTCCTGCTTTTATTTTGCATCCTCACTCATTTGGCTTGTGTATCATGTCAGAGGTGCTTGGAGAAGGATGAACCTACAAACTTGTTCCAAACCAGTTTGGTATTGGGATCCAGTTTTTGAGAAAATGTGTTTTAGGATTTTTGTTATGTTATTATACTATGTCACTATATTATTCTCTTTCATTGTACCCCTATTTTATGCCTGCATTTCTATTGGCCAGTTGCTGCTGCGTTGGAGTATAGATATACTCCTCCCCATGTTCTCCCTATATGGTCCTAGTTTGCATACTCCGCCCTTGCTCCTCCCCGGTTACTCCCCTCGTTCGAGCAAGTTCTGCACCTGCCTGTCCGAACCCTCGTTCCTCTCGGGCTGTCGAGGACGCTGAGAAAGCCTGTTTCCCACAGTTTGGATTTTGGGTTTTTTGTAGGTTTGGTTTGATTTGGTTGGTTGGCTGGTTGGGTTGGGTTTTTAGTTTTGGTTTTTTTTGGGTTTTTTTGTTTGGTTGGTTGGTTGGGTTGCGTTGGTTTGGTTTTAGGGGATTTTTGTTGGTTTTTGGGGTGTTTCTATTTGGCTTTTTTCTTTTTTTGTTATTGGTGCTTTGGGATTTTTTGTTGGTTTTGGGTTTTTTTCTTTCTTTTTTGCTGTTGGTTTTTGGGGTTTTTTGGCTGTTTTTGGGGGGGGTTGTTTGATGGTTGTTGTTGGTTTTTTTCCTTCTTTTTTCTTGTTTTTGGGGGGTTTGTTTCTTTTTTCTTGGGTTTTTTTGCCTTTTTTTTGTTTTGGGTTTTTTTTTCTTTCATTTTGGTTTTTTTGGGGGGGTTGGGTTTTTTTCTTTTTTCTTTTTTTTGTTTTTTTTCTTGTTGATTTTTTGGGTTTTGTTTTTTTCTATTGTTGGTTTTTTGGGGGTTGTTTTTTTTTCTTTTTTCTTTTTTTTAATTTTTGGGGCTTTTTCTTTCTTTCTTTCCTGTTGGTTTTTTTGGGTTTTGGTTTTGTCTTTCTTTTTTCTTGTTGATTTTTGGGGAGTTGAGTTTTTTTTCTTTTTTTCTGCTTGGTTTTTTGTGTTTTGGGGTTTTTCCTTTCTTTTTTCGTCTTGGGTTTTTTTGGGTTTTTGGTTCTTTTTCCTTGTCCTTGTTTTTTTGGGGGGTTTGGGTCTTTTTCCTTTTTTTTCATTTTTTTTTTAATGTTGATTTTTGGGGGGTTGAGTTTTTTTTCTTATTTCTGCTTGGTTTTTTGCGTTTTGGGGTTTTTCCTTTCTTCTTGTTTTTTTTAGGTTTTTGGTTTTTTTCCTTTTTTCTTGTCCTTGTTTTTTTGGGGGGTTTGGGTCTTTTTCCCTTTTTTTTTTTTCCTTGTTGTTTTTTGGGTGGTTAGGGTTTTTTTCCTGTCGTTTTGTTGTTCTTCGGGAGGGGTTTTTGTTCCAAGGAAATGGCGGCAATGGCGGCAGCGGCGCTCGGACTACACCCCCCAGCGTGCACCGCGGCGCCCCGTGACGTTCCGCCTCCCATTGGCCCAGCCCCGCCCGGGGGCGTGTCCCTCCTCGCGTGTCTCTAAAGCGGGAGCGCCGGGCCGGGGCCGCTGCTCGGAGCGCGATTGGTCAGTGGTGCCACCTTGGCGGGCGGTGATTGGCGGAGCGCGGGGGGGCGTGGCCGTGGCCATGATGGCGGGAGAGGCGCGAACCGGGCCCGGGGGGAGGTGGCGGCCGAGGGGGGACCAAGACCGGGACCCGGGACCGGCAGCAGCCCCGGCGCCCTCTCAGCCCTTGCAGGACCTGACCGGCGATGGGGGGGTGCGCAAGGAGCAGCTGCACCCCGGCACCGGGCAGCTGGTGCCGCCGTCTGCCTCCGTGGCAGGTACAGCCGGGCCCGGGGACCCGGAGCCTCCCGTGGGCCGCGGGAGGGTCACAGGGTGCCCAGAGAAGCTGTGGTTGCCCCAGTCCTGGAAGCGTCCAGGGACAGGCTGGACGGGGCTTAGGGCACCCTGGGCTCGTGGGAGGTGTCCGTGCCCGTGGCAGGGGTGGGATGATCTCATTCTCCGTGGTCTTTGATGTCCCTTCCAACTTGAACCGTTCCATGATTCCCGCAGCCCCCCGGGACTCTGTGTCCCCCTCCTGGTGCTGGGTCCTGCCTGAGCTCAGCCTGGCCCTCAGCCCGGGGGGGGAATTGGGGTGCTCAGCAGCAACGTGGTGCCCGGATTCATGGGTACATCAGGCCCCTGAACAGCTTTTAAATAGCACTTAATAAGTTTAGTCTGCGTTCACCAGGACTAAAAGCTTAAACTCCTTGGCGGCGTGAGCTGGAGTGAGGGTGTGGTGCCCATCCGTGTGCCCTGTGCCTCAGTGCCAGGTTTGGTCGGGGTGGCAGGGCCGGAGGAAGGTGCTGGGGGAGACAAAGAGGGCAGAGCCTGTTGTGGAAGAGCCCCAAGCCTGTAATGTGGAGGTGCTGGTGGCTGGCAAAGACCAGAACAGGCACTTCAAAGTGCTGTGTCTTTCTGTTTCGGAGACTGTCTGTTCTCCTTATCACTGTTTTAGCACTTGGGATACCCTGTGTAACTTCTTGTGGCTGACAGATTAAAGGAAAGGGCATCTTGACCTTGAGGAAAGCAGGATTTCCAGGGCCCACCTGTGCTCACAGAGA